TTCACCCTTCCCTCCCACTTCTCCCTCTCCATCCTTCTTTCCTTTCTCGTCTTTAACCCTCCCTTCCTATCCCCTTTCTTCATCCTAGCCATCCGTTCTTCCTTCTCTTTTCCCCTCCTTCCCCTTTTCTTATCCCCCGTTTTCCCTCTCCTCCATTCGTCCTTTTTCTTTCCCCCATTCTCCTTCTCCTCCTTTTCCCTTTCTTCTTTTTTTCCCATTCACCTTCTTCCTTCCGCCATCCTCCTCCTCCTATCCCCTTTCTCTCTTCCCTCTTCGTCCTTCTCCTTTTCCCCTTTCTCGTTTCTCCTTCGTCCTCTCCCCCTATCCCCATTTCTCCTTTCCCCTCTTTTCCTTCTCTCCTTCCCCTCCCCCCTTCTCTTCACCCCTTCTTCCTCTCCCCCTTCTCCTTCACCTCATTGTCCTTCCTCCTCCCCTCCCTTTCTCTCTTCCCCTCTTCGTCCTTCTCTTCCCCCCCCCTCTCTCTCTCCTACATCCACCCTTCTTCCTCTCCCCATCCTACTTACTTACTTACTTACTCACCATGACGTCACAGCAGGATGACACTGGGGGGGGGGGGAGTCGACCCTTCACGGCAGACGGACGGCTTTACCTGTGAAAAAGTGAGAGTGACTGTCAGATAAGATAACAGAGATAACGCAGATAAGATAAAAGATGTAATCGCAACGGTGACACGACAAGTTGCGGATAAATCTTTTTTTTTTTTTTTTTTTTTTTTTACCAAAGGGTCTTTCGGTTGAGTACAAAGTGAGGCATAATCGATAATTAAAAAAAACGGAAAATGAGTAGTAAAAAAATTGATAGAACAAGATAAAGAAAAATGAAAAAGATTGGCTGCTCACGACAAGCCACCTCCCCCCCCCCCTCTCTTACCCCTTTCCCCTTTCCACGAAAAAAACAACCTCCCCAGACCCCACCCCACCCACCTACCCTAACAAGCCACCTCCTCCCAAAACCCTTTTCCCCTCTTTTACCCTCCCCTCCCCTCCCTTCCCAATAACAACCTCCTCCCCCCCCCTTCTTACCCCTCTCTCCCTTTCCCCGAAAAAAAACTCCCCCCCCCCACCCCTACCCACCCACCCACCCTAACAAGCCACCTCCCCCCCTTTTCCCCTCCCTTCTCCTCCCCTTCCCCGAAAAACAACCTCCTCCCCCCCCCAACCCACCCTACCCACCTACCCCCATAGCAACAAGACCGGGACCCACGTGACAGCGACGCAAAACGAAACAGTTATAACGAAGAAAACGAAACAGCATACGGCGATCGAAGGCCAGTCCCCCCCCCCCCCACTCCCCTACTACTTCCCCTCCACCCCTATCCACTCCTCCACCCCTTCTTAGCTTCTAAGATAGCTATTGTGAGTCCCACCCTCCCCCCCCCACTACCCCCATCCCCTTCTCCACTCCACCCCCTTCTTAGCTTATACGATAGTCCCCCTCCCCTTTCCCCACTACTCCCTCCACCCCCCACTGCCCACCCCCCACCTCTCCACTCTTCCACTCCTTCATAGCATTTACGATAGCTATGTGTCCCCCCCTCCATCCAGACTACCCCATCCCCTTCTCCACTCCACACCTTAACTTCTACGATAGCTATTGTGAGTCCCCTCCACCCCCCACTACCCAACCCTCTCCACTCATCTCCTTAGCTTCACGATAGCTATTGTGAGTCCCCCTTCCCCACTACTCCCTCCACCCTCCACTACCCCACCCTTCTTAGCTTATACGATAGCCCCCCCTCCCCTTTCCCCCACTACTCCCCCTCCACCCCCCACTACCCCAACCCTCTCCACTCCTCCACTCCTTCATAGCTTGTACGATAGCTATTGTGTCCCCCCCTCCACCCAGACTACCCCCACCCCTTCTCCACTCCTCATCTCCTTAATATCTACGATAGCTACTGTGAGTCCCCTCCACCCCTCTCACTACCCCAACCCTCTCCACTCATCTCCTTAGCTTCTACGATAGCTATTGTGAGTCCCCCTCCACCCTCCCCTACTACTCCCCTCCACCCTCCACTACCCCACCCCTTCTTAGCTTATACGATAGTCCCCCCTCCCCTTCCCCACTACCCCCTTCTCCCCTCCCCTCATCTCTTAACTTCTACGATAGCTACTCTGAGTCCCCCCCTCCCCAACTACTCCCCACCCCTTCTCCACTTATCCATCCCTTCTTAACTTCCACGATAGCAATTGAGTCCCCCCTCCATCCCCCACTACCCCCACCCCTTTTAGCTTCTACGATAGCAATTGTGAGTCCCCCCTCCCCCACTACCCCACCCCCTTCTTAGCTTCTACGGTAGCCATTGCGAGTCCCTATCGACGTCGCTTCACAGTAGAACTTTCCCTCCAACACGACTTTAACACGACTCTACCCCGCGCTCAACTCTTACCGAGCGGACTTCGAACTCTACTTGAACGCCCACTTCTTAGAATGCAAACCCTGCTTTGATCGACGAGTCCCGCCCTCACTAGGCTTCCCTCTGATCAATCAACCGGAGTCCTTGAACTTTTAATTAATCGTGAAATGTGCGTGGCCGAGAAATCAAAGGCTTGGACCGGGAGATCGACCAGTCCGTCGGAGCTGGCGCAATATTTGCTTGCATAAAAAAGGAAATAAATAAATAATAAATAAATGAGATAGATGGTCAGCGATAGAAAGACAAGTAGACAGATAGATAGATAGATAGATAGAAGGATGGATGGATGGATGGTTGTATGGGGATAGATAGACAGATAGATAGATAGATGAAGATGGAGAGAGAGAGAGAGAGAGGAGAGAGAGGAGAGAGAGAGAGAGAGAGAGAGAGAGAGAGAGAGAGAGAGAGAGAGAGAGAGAGAAGAGAGAGAGAGAGAGAGAGAGAGAGAGAGAGGTTGCGATAACTACGATGATGTTATGTCTAGGCTGCTGTTTTGGCCGGCATAAATTTGCAATCAAAGCGTTCCATATATGGCTGTGGGCTATGACAGCTAGGCTTAGTAAATGCCAGTGTCGCTGGCTATGTTGCTGCCCAAGGACCATGGATCTCTCTCTGTCTCTGTCTCTGTCTCTGTATCTGTCTCTGTCTCTGTCTCTGTCTCTCTCTGTCTCTCTTGTCTCCTGTCTCTCTCTCTCTCTCTCTCTCTCTCTCTCTCTCTCTCTCTCTCTCTCTTGTGTGTGTGTGTGTGCGCGGCGGTGTGTGTATCCGTCTGTCTCTGTCTCTTCTCTCTTTTCCTATCTTCCTCACACACACACACACACACACACACACACACACACACACACACACACACACACACACACAGAGAGAGAGAGAGAGAGAGAGAGAGAGAGAGAGAGAGAGAGAGAGAGAGAGAGAGAGAGAGAGAGAGAGAGAGAGAGAGAGAGAACTTCAGCTATACACCCCCGATGACAACAAAGAAATCAAAACAAACCCAACGCCACAAGTCGAACAACAACAACAAAAATATCACATGACAATGGAGGACAACCAGCAACAAGTAAACGCAAATACACACCAATAAACCTAAACAGCAAAAAAACAAAAATAAATAAAAAGCAAAAAAAGGAACAAGTAAACGGAAATATATACCAATAAACCTAACCAGCAA